AAGTTTCAACTTGTTCGGTGCAGTCAGTCTGGTGTGAGCTACAGTTGAGAGAAGGTGTGTTTTAAAGTGTGCAGTAAACCATCCTCCATCATGACTATGCTCCGTGTCACACATCGCTTCTGGTATATGGCAATTTCTGTCAAATAAAAACATTACCGTGTGTCCTCATCCACCTTATTCACCGGATCTGTCACTGTGCAACTCTGGCTCTTCAAAGTCAAAATGATTCAGGATATTGAGACAGCCATGACAGCGCAACTAAAGACACTCACGAAAGAGGATTTCCAGAACTGCTTCAGAAAGTGACAAGAATGATGGGGTAAGTGTGTTCAAAGCAAGGGAGAGTATTTTGAGGGGGGGGGGGCATTAATGGCATGTGTCTTTTACTGTAATAAATTTTTTTATTGTTTGATCACACCTTGTACATTAAGTCACATATTCAATTAAAAATCATAATATCCCGAGATAATTTTTATCTATTGGGTTGTCGGAAAAGTCATGCATTTTTGCAATGAATAACAGAAAAAATACGTCATGCCTTTTCCGACAACCCAATACTTTGTCTGTCAAAGATTGAGAGAATATAAATTTAAGTTTCCAACTACAATTGTGGTTTTGGTAATTCTCCTTAAACCACTAGAATATTGTTTTATACATCTTTATGCATTGATGTTATTCAATGCATAAGAGTTCATTGTAGTTAAATCACTGTATGTGGTTTTATCAATTAAAATAACTTTTTTATTTAACTCTATACTCACTTTATAATCTCCTTTGTCAGATGATTGTACCACTTAACATATTTTTCAAAATATTTTAACCCTAATATATATAGTACATATTTTCTCATTCCTTTATTTTTAGCTTCAGTTTGAGTGTGTATCATAAAAATTTTAAGAGATGCAGTTTTAATTTTTTTAACCAATATTTAAGACTTTGTCATCTAGTAAGTTTAACCTCTTTACATTTCATGCTTTGTCAGATTTCTGTCATCTTTTTTTTCCTCTCTTTTTATGCTTTCCTGTTATTTTCCTTTTTTTTTTTTAATTTTGCTACATTGGAAAATTTTTCTTTGCTTTTTATTCTAACAATTTGGAGTCGTTCAATATAGTTTCCTTTATTCATTTTTAGTATTTGAACTTATATTTTCACAATATTAAGAATAATAGAATGTCTATTGCCTATTTTGAAATGAGACCAGGTTTTTAAGACAGCTTTGGTTATTTTATATGCTGATTAGTTGGTGATGCTGTGGTCATATTTTTATTCTGGCTTATTTTATGGAAAATAGAAATTGGGAGTTAAGACAAAGATTAAATAGCATTTAAAGAGTGAATGCTACCTTCCAAGTGAGATTTCTCCATCAGGGACTGAAAGGAGAAATGATATCACAGTCTTATATATTTATGTTACATTTAACATTATGCAATATGTCTTCACATACTTTTATCCAGTTAAACTACACAAAAGCCCTAGATGTTATTATTCCCATTTTCTGGATAATGAAACTGAAGCCCAGAAAAGTAGTCGTTGTCTGAGATCCCAAGACACCGAGACTCACAACACAGAGGCACACGTTCAAGATGAAGCAAATGGAAACTCAAACACAAATCATGCTGAGTCCAAATCCAGGGCCCTTTAGCTACAGCCTGGATAGACTCAAAGTGCATCTGACTCCTTGAATGTGTGGAGATGTCACTTGAAAATATCCCACGGACCAGCCCAGGTCCTGGCACAAGAGAGGGACTGAGTTAATGTTTGCTGTTGAATGTGTTGGTATAATCATCCTTCAAAGCTTGATGGCTTTGTTTCTCTGGATGTCCAGCAGGTGGCACTACATAATCAAGGGGATCTGTCACTTCCCTTTTAGTGAAGCCATTAAATTCCATACAGGTCCTGAGAATTTCAAAAGCAAAACTAAAATTGAAAATATAGAAAAAAAAGATACTTTTTTTAATCGTTAGCTAAAATTTACATACATTCAAAACTACCATATTTATATATCAAAAAATTGAGATAATTTGTCAAAGTTCCTCTTTAGTAACAACAACCAAAAAAAAACCCCGCAGGTAAAAATTCCAGAATGATCTATATTAATCAATCCAATGTACATTCTGATTTCAAGTTAGTGGAAAAACTAAATTTAATCATTTAGTCAGCCTTGGGGAGCATCATATTAGTTTTGTTCCCTTGACTGATCCACAGAAGACCTTTGTAGAGTACACCGTACCTTGCCCCTCCCCGTGTGGGGCTGAGGAGGCAGTGCTCTCCCCGAGCACTCTCTGAGCTCCTCTTCTTGAGGGCAGAGATTACATCCTGCTCATCTTCACGTCCAACACCTTGTTTTCATAAATGTGAATGGATTAAAAGCCTAAACCCTTAATTCTGCTCCAGTACAGTGTTGAGAGATGGCAGGTGATGTAACCCTTGAAGAGGAATGTTCTTGTCTTAATTAGTGGGTCGTAGGATGACAGGTAAGGAAACCTAACTGAGGCGACTGGAAAATGCCCCCCCCCCCGCTCTAGAATACAGCACACACGCTTTGTGGATTATGAGTTTTTATTGCTCCATTGACTTCTCAAGACGGACCTTTAGATACCCTTGTGTTTAGATCATTATTATCTACTCTCTTTTAATAATTTTAATTTTCTATGATGCTCAGGTGGGGAAGGGAATTTATGAAGGAGAGATTTTACTAAATAGCATTTAATCCCCCCAAATCATTTAATACAAGGTTTTAAAATGCATTTTATGATGCCTGAGATTGCTAGAGAATCAGCTAAGTATTAGTCGCCTGCTGAGTGTTAAGAACTGTGGTCAAAAGAAGTATAAACGTGCCTCCCCTAGAAGCTTTTTGTCAGCTAATTATAGCATATTACACTGTATTCATTAGAGTCCAGCATAAGATAGTACTCATTAAGCTGCATTTTTTTATAGATATGTTATAGAAACCTGATTAAGGAGGAAGAACCACCATTATTGGACATTTAAGTGTCAGCCGCTATATTAGACAATTTTGTGTTATTTTTATTTAAGCACAAAAAACATCCTATGGGATAGCTAATTATCCCCATCTTATAAAAGCATAAACTGAAACTTAGACAGTTTAAGCAATTTGCACAGGTCACACAGCGAGTAAGAGGCATGGTCAAAATTCAAACCCTGATCTCCTGTGACCTACTATGCTTATAAATTATCTTCCCACCTCCCTCCAGGACTATTCAGAATGGACTGGTATAATCAGCGAGTCTTCATGGCAGGGATGGAGCTTGAGTTTAGAGGGTTTCATACAAGATTTGATAGGTGGGAGACAGGTGTGTCTGTACCTGTCAGCATCTTAGAGGGAAAGAGATGGAAAACTCAAAGTGCTAATTAAAGAAAATGTAATGAGGAACTATTTACAGAGGATGTCAGGGTTATGGACAGCAGCAAAGAGAAGCGAGGCACTTAGGAAAGGTTATCACCTCCAGGCTTGAGAGGCAAAGGGAGAGAATGGCATGGCATGAACCCAGTGTGGATGTGGGAGAAAAGATTCCCCTAGCAACTGTGGTCAAGGTTAGAGAGTTCCCTGCCCAAGTGCATCCAGGTGTTGAGGGAATAGAGTGTAGAGTGGAGGGAACAAACCCAACCTCTCTTTCCTCGCCCCCCCCCACCACACCTCCTGTTCAGCCGCCTATTGGCAAGGGACCCCATGTGGTACAGTCTATAGAGGTCAACCTCAGGGCACAGAGCAGGGCAAGGAGAATGGAGAATTGATCTGGGAACAAACAGAGAATGGCCTGCCCGTGTTACTGTAGGGAGAGTAAGCAGCATGGGCACCGCTGTGGGCTGAGGAGCTCAGCATGGCCTCTGTTGGGGCCTGCGCAGACCAGCCTCACCGGTGCAGAGGGTCTGATCTGACGGCGGTGGGAGATGAAGTTGAAGAGGCATGCTAGAAGTCCTAAATGTCAAGTAAAGGTGCCTGATTCTAATCTGATACTCAGTAGTAAACTGATTTTGTTTTAACCCAATGTTAAGTTATTTCTTTCATAAGCCAGAGAGTTAGGGAGATACCCAAGAAGCATGAGGAGGGGAAGGAAGGTGACGGTGAGAGCAGACTGAATGTGGTCTTCTGCCCGTCCACTGGGAATGTGGGAGTGAGTGTGCAGGTTTCCTCACAGAGTTCCTTTGGCTCTCTCTGTTCCAGTGACCTATGGGATGATGAGCTCCAGTGTGTACTACTACACTCGCATAATGTCACAACTCTTCCTAGATACCCCGGTGTCCAAAACGGAGAAAACTAACTTTAAAACTCTTTCTTCAATGGAAGACTTCTGGAAGGTATTTGCAAATGACTTTGAAAGTACCTCTTTATCACGGAAAATTGTTCATTTGGCTTCATATGTTCAATTTGATAGTATCTGCGGGGCCTGCTATGCGTGTAACACTGTGTAAGATGTGAAAGTTATGGTGAGTTGTTAGAAATATGTATGTGCCTTGCACCGAGCTGAGTGTTTCATACCTTATCTTATTTAATCCCCATAGTAACCACACAAGATAAGTACTAATATTCCCCATGTTGTAAATAAAGAAACTGAGATTCAGGGTGCCAGGGAGTAAGAAAAATTAACTTTATTCTAGCCTACAAACACTTCCTCACCTAGTTTATAACTCATGCAGTTATTCAACTCAATATCTATTGAGTATCTCCTAGGATGTGAGGTCCCTAGGACAAAATTTGGTTATTTTTGTCTTGCTTTGCTTTTTGTTTTTTGTGTCTTTGTTGATGATGGCAGGTATCCTAGAACAGTGCTTAATACAAGGCAAACACATTCTTTCAAAGATCTCTTTGTAAAATTCAACCCAGCCCCTTCCCAAATTGTCACAAATTCCAACATGGTGGCAGAAAATAAGCAATGAATGATACCATAGGAAAAATATTAAACTGATCTAGATGACATGGTACTAAGAATCTATGAAAATTGAGAGGGATATTGGAAAGGAAATGATTATTTCTTCCTGAGGAAATACTTTCTGAAATTCTTATAAAACCCTGGCAGTTAGAGCTGTTGAGTTTAAAGATAGAGGAAACTGGATCACAGGAACCTGTTCATTCTAATGTGTAAAAATATTTGGCATCCAAAACCACACTTGCATAATATGCATATTTCCCTCCCTCATTGGGACAAATCTCTATTGATCATCTGATAAGGCACTGAGAATGGTTAGATCTGTCTTCCCTATAGGCAAACTTAAAGAGATTTCTCACATATACACAATTCCATGATAATAAACACCAAGCTCAAAAAGCAGGGTTGGGCGGGGTTGGAGAGTGCATCATATGGCAGAATAGTCCAAATGATTAAAAGATCCATCAGATGGCAGACTGGTAATCAAAATTATAGTCTTTTCCTTTCCAAACAAGTTTAGAGCCAAGATTATTAATTATTAACT